AAAAAAAAATATTTACGAGTATGTAAAAAAAATAATATTTACGAGTATGTAAAAAATATTTACGAGTATGTATTATTTTTACGGGTATGTAAAAAAAATATACGAGTTGGTAAAAAAATACGAGTATGTAAAAAAAAAATTTACCACGAGTATGAAAATTATTTTTAAAAAATACCTTACGAGTATGTTAATAGAAAAAATTTACGAGTATGTAAGGTGCTAAAAAGAGGGATGTCACGATTACATTCACAAGGAGGTCCAGGGGGTAATTAAAAAAAAAAATATTTTACAGTACTGTAGATTATTTATAAAAGACAAAAAATATTTACGAGTATGTAAAAAAAAACCATAGCCATCGCGACTCTTCCTTCGAATTAACGGGGTAAAGAACGATGAAAACGCTGGAATTCTTCATCAAAGATTCTGTTTTTCAGATTCAGGGAATGTGGAACGTTGTTGTGTGTGTTCAATTCGTCTGGGGTGGTGTCGCTGGTTATCGTCGTGGCTGTGGTGACGTTTGTTGTCAGGTTGTTGGCGGTGTGTGGTGTTTGTGTGTTGTGTGTGTGGGGTGTGTATGTGTGGTGTGTGTGGTGTGTGTGTGGGTGTGGGTGTTGATGGGTGTGGGTGGTGCGGTAGTGTGTTGCGTGTGTGTGGTGGGGGGGGGCCGTTGTGTGTGGTGTGCGGTGTGTGTGTGGCGTGGTGTGTGGTTGTGTGTGTGTGTGTGTGGTGTGGGTGGTTGTGCCGTGTGTGTGGGTGTGTGTGTGTGGTGTGGTGTGTGTGTGTGTGTGTGTGTGTGTGTGTGTGTGTGTGTGTGTGTGTGTGTGTGTGTGGTGTGTGTGTGTGTGTGTGTGTGGTGTGTGTGGGTGTGGGTGTTGTGTTCATGTGTGGGTGTGGTGTGTGTGTGGTGTGTTCGTGTGTGTGTGGTGTGTTGTGTGTGGGTGTGGTGTGTGGTGTGTTGTGGTGTGGTGTGTGTTTGGGTGTGTTGGGTGTGTGTGGTTGTTGTTGTGTGTGTGGGTGTGTGTGTGTGTGTGTGTGTGCGTGGGTTGTGGGTGTGGTGTGGTGTGTGTTGTGTGTGTGTGTGTGTGTGTGTGTGTGTTGTGTGTGTGTGTGTGTGTGTGCGCGTGCGGTGTGTGTGTGTGTGTTGTGTGTGCGTGGGTGTTTGTGTGTGTGTGTGTGTTCGTGTGTGTGTGTGTGTGTGTGGCGTGCGTGTGTGTGTGCGTGTGTGTGGGTGTGGGTGTGGGTGTGTGGGTGTGTGGGTGGGTGTGTGGGTGGGTGTGTGTGTGTGTGTGTGTGCGTCCGTGTGTGTGGGGGGGGGGCGTTTGTGTGTGTGCGTGTGCGGTGCGTGTGTGTGGGTGTGTGGGTGTGTGTGTGTGTGTGTGTGTAGGTGGTGTGTGTCTATGTGTGTGTGTGTGTATACGTACATATATAGATAGCTAGTTAGATATGATAATAATAACATTAATGATAATAATAATAATGATAAAGAGGATAATAATGATGATAATGATAATATTAATAATGATGATGATGATGATAACAATAATGATAATAATATGATAATAATAAGATAATAATAATAATAATAATATAATATAATAATATAATAATGAATTGATATAATATAATAGTATGTATGATAATATTAATTAATTGGCATGATGTAATAAAGTGATAATAATGACGACAATCTTATTAGCATAATCATTACTACTACTTTCAGCATCACCTACCATATCACAGTGCAACCCCACCCCCCACACTTTTTTTTCCCTAGATCCGCCACTGATAATGTCACCAAGCTACACCACCTACACGCGCGTATGTATTCCGTATTAATACAATCTTCTTTGAACAGAACATTGCTGTTGATGACGGGAACAAAAACGTCACTCTTTCTTCGCAATCTGGAAGCCTTGGTCCACGTTCCCGAGAACGTTTCTTCGGAAGAGCCAAACATGGAGGAAATTCTTGTCGTTCCTCCGACTCTGT